ACGGAAAGTGGTTTTCTAATTAACTTAGTTATACATTTGATTGTGGAAACAGGCCCATTCTCGTGCGAGAGTAGCGACATCGATTTCGTTCCAGGTGGCCGACTGTCTGATGTGGAGCATTCAGACGACATTGTGCTGTTAAGCGAAGATGCAGGTAAGTTGCAAGCTTTTCTAAATAGCTTGAGCGCCATCGTCGCCATGTTCAGTGTGCGTTTTGCATCTTCAAAGTGTACAATGTTACTTCAAGACTGGATTAATCCAGCACCCAGCGTCACTCCAACCGCTGAAGTAATAGAGCAGGTGGATAAGTTTTGTTATTTGGGCAGCTACATCTCACCCGGTGGACGCATCACAGATGGAGTGAAACTTGGCCATTAAGAAAACAGGATAAAGATAGACTGTCGGTGTTTGAACATCGCTGTGTTACGCAGCATTGCACGAATCTGGTGGGGTAACCGGATGAGCAGTGCTGAGGTTAGACGCAGAGTTTTGGGTATCCGCGGTCGCCCACTGGAACAAATGGTAGACCTTCATAGATTATCCTGGTGAGGACATGGGCTACGCGTGTCACCAAATAGGTTACCGCGGTGAGCGATGTTTGTCGAGGCAGGTAGCGGTTGGAAAGAGGTCAAGGACGGTCAAGCTAAGACCTGGCACGAAGGTATGAAATCTCTACCCAGGGTACTGGCTCATATGGGTCCTTTCAGGTTCCCTGGCTGGGGACCTCGGGATGAGCGTAACCGATTATCGCAAGCAGTGGCGTTTGTACATCTCAATTCTCCATTTTCTGTTCCACTCTAATTCCAGTTCTCCTGTCTTTCTCCCATTTTTCATCCAAAGGGGCAGCCAAAAGACAGCAACCAAAACTGGCGCACGAATATGCGTGGTTAATGGTTTTACAAGCTGGAAACTGAAACTTTCCTCATCCATGACTGATTTGGTCTCATTTGCTACTTCTCAACCTTGCACGCGTACCCAGATAGTTAGACACAAATAATTCATGGATCTGATGGCTAATGCAATGTTTTTCCAATTCTGTACACGACGAATTCCCTCATAAAAATGAATCGACTTCTCCATTCCATTCATGTATTACAATATCATCGAAACAATATTCATTTGCAAATATTGTCGTCCTCCAATTCTGTTGCCCGTAGCCCTCGGAGCACCGGATGATCCGGTTATTTTGGAGATCCCGTTTCTCCCGGATGAAGCATTTCACACACGACATCCGATTGAACAACATTTGTACGAATCGTTAGTTCCGCCACGCGTGGACCCTAGTTCCACGTCCGATCGTCGGCGTGCATGCACGTTTGCCACTCGTGTTCTCGGAAGTGATCTGGCCGGACCGAATTCGGCGCGCGGTGCTCCTGCCCCACCCAGCCGACAACGGACGTTGGATCGGTTGTTAAATTTGGATCCGAATTCCATCGATCCACATGCCACACAGCATTGGGTACGCAAATCTCATGAACTCGGTCCGCGACGAGGCAGTCTGAAATCCCAATCGGAATTAGTGAAAGACGTGGCTGAGATTCCTCGGTTAGTGATGCTCACGGGGAAGTTGTCTATCCCGGACTTTCCCTGATTAATCTGTGGGTTTATGTTCACTTCTAATTTCGACAGACGTGTCCTGCTGCTCCTGTGGCTGTTGTTTTTGTCGTCAACACATTGTTCTCCGTGTAGAACCGCAGAACAGACCTGTCTGGTTAACTTTAAGTCGTAAGCCAACAGTCGGGTTTTGACGGTTGAAGCACATTCAACCACTTCCGGATAAATCATTTCAGTTCAGTTCTTACAACCAATAACCACGCACTTTCGTGCGGTTTTGGTTGTCCATTTGGATAAAATAGCCGAATGATGATTAGAATGTTCAGAGCAGATTTAAGCGAAAGGTAGGACATTTTCATAGACTGAAGTTACAAGAATAATGAGTAGATGCATGAGCGCCACTGTTTGCGACACCCAGCCGTACCGCCCTTCATTTTGTTCCAACCACTACCTGCATCGTCAAGCATCGCTCACCAAGCAACCTACCTGGTGACATGCGCAGCATATGTCCTAACCAGTGTAATCTATGGAGGTCGATTACCTGTTCCAGTGGACGACTGCGATTACCTAAAACGTTTCGCCTAACCTCAGCATTGCTCGTCTGGCTTTTCCACCAGATTCGTGCAATGCTATGTAGACAGTGGTGTTCGAACACCAAAAGTCTATTTTCCTCCTGTTCCTTTGGTGGCCAAGTCTCTGCACCGTAAAGCAGAACTGACCGAACTACTGCAGCATATACTCGACCCTTCACAGACAACCGGATGCCGCGATGGCGCCACAAATGTCTCAAGTTGGCAAATGCCAATCGAGCCTTTTGTATGCGCGCCGACACTTCATCTGTGATGCGTCCGCCAGGTGAGATATAGCTGCCGAGATAGCAAAATTTGTCTACTTCCTCTACTACTTCCCCAGTTAGGGTGAGGCTGGGTGCTGGATCAACCCAATCTTGTAGTAGCATTTTACACTTTGAAGGTCCAAAACGCATACCGGACATGGACACCGTAGCACTCAAACTATCCAGAAAAGCTTGCAACTTACCTGGATCTTCACTTAGTAACACAATGTCGTCTGCATACTCTAGATCAGACAGTCGGCCACCTGGGAGTAAATCGATGCCGCTATCCTCGCATGAAAATAGGGCTGTTTCAATAAATAAATCTATGACAAAGTTAAATAGAAAAGGAGAGAGAGGGCAATCCTGTCGAACATCACTTTCCATGATGAACTCGGGTGAAAAAGTGCCGTTAGCTCTAACTCGGCTTCGGCTATTATTGTAGAGGGATTGTAATGTGGAACTAAATCTCGGACACCCCCTTGAAGGAAAGTCAGTACCAAAGTTTAGGGCGGTCTACTGAGTTGAAAGCCAGATCTCGATTTTTAGCCGCACAAAGTTGGGATCTGTACCGTCGGATACTAACGACCCAAACAGCTAGCTATTCGACGAGTGGGCTAAACGAGGTCCAATGTTACTCCCGAGCCTAACACTTCTGTGATAGCGGGGATGTACGGGATGTGAAGACATCCACCTGTTACAGAGCGGACAAGGTCTCAGTCCTGATTTATGGGCTATAAAGAAAATTCATCAGAAAGATGCCTAGATTTCTTGACTGCAGTTGAATAGTGAACAAGCCGTCGCAAAGCCATCGGCAACCATGTGCTAATGCACTAATTCGTTCGTTCTTGCCCATCCACTAAGAGGCTAAGTTTGACCCCTAGTATGAAATGTCACGATTGATCCCTATCTAAGGATCTAATTAGTCGTAGTAAACCACAATAACTTCATTTCCTCTGGCCCTTGTACAAACCACTGTTCCCCTGACCCGGAAGTTGTTCTACTTTCGAGAAACACGACTACTGATGTTGAAGAAATCTGTGTAAATGGTCTATAAACGCGAGGCATAGCATATAGGAGAGCAAGAGAGCTTTAATCATGAGTGAGCGTTGTGAAATGCAGTTTCAAATCAGGTCGGGTCAAGAACCTTTTTTCGCAATTTATGAATAAATGGAACCAATTGCGATCAGTACGAAAACGGTATTAAATCGGATAAAATAGTAATGCAAGAGTCTGTCCCTAAGGTAGGTGACCATTGTTATCTTACGAGTAACAAAACGTTGAGTAAGATACGGAGGTAGACGGAAGAAGGAGTGAATATTTGAAGCGAGATCGGGAATTTGATTTCGTGATGCACACGGTGCGC